CTAACTGAAGTCAGCAAGCTTTATTATCGACAACCAGATAAATTGGTCACTTGGACTTATCATTAATTTTATAACTTTGTTTTAGTCAATATTTGGAAGGGCTTGTACTACTATAGATTTCTACATTTGTTTCACCATTATAATTGGAGAAATTTAATAGTAAATACATAACCGTGTTTTTGTGGATGTGCCGTCAATCCTATACATGTATACACGTGAACTTGTATACCGATAATTTAATCCTGAGGAGGGATTATAGAGGGACTGGGATTATCCTCAAAAAACCAGGATACTTTTCACCTGAACTATGCATTTTCCCCTCTTTATATAATTAATATTAGTTGTTTTTTTTTCTCTATAAAGTAGAGTAAAAATGTATTATGAGATATCAAATAATCGGAATTTTTTTAAATAAAAAAAAATAATAGGTTTCCTATCTCAGGTCACCATTTCTTTCCCCGTTTCCGCTGATGAAAAGGTCGGTACCTTGACTATTGTGACTATTGTCAAGGCCCTCACGCTTGCTACATTTTTGAACATTCAGATCATTATAAGCCAGTCATATAAGTTGATTATAACGTGCGATATTTACGTTCAATATGACCGCTTATAGTTTACTGTGTATTTTGTTGTGAAGTTATGAAGGTATTGCTTGCTACATGTGTTCTTTTTTTTTAGCGCTACATGTAATAGACAAGTACAATAGCAGAAGAGCTTGTGGTATGGTCTTTTTTTCGTCGTCCGCCTGTCCGTTAGCATGTTGTTCGTCTGTCCGTTAGCAAGTTATTTCGACACTTCCAAAACTACTTAGAGAGTTTCCATGAAACTTTACACAAACTTTCATCTTATTGTCTGGTTGGTCTAGATGAAAGTGTGAAAACGTTTTTCATTGCTACGTTTTTTTTTTTTTTTAAACATGATAGTTATATCACCGTAGGTTTTTCACTAAAAGACTTATTTTTACTGATGCTTGGTTTTCAATGAAAATGTGCCGATCTGATGTTCGGTATGGCCTCCACGGCATCCATTATTGAAAATATTGTTATGCTACTAAAACTGAATAAATATAAATTTGGAGTTTTCTTGAAATTAATGTTTGGTTGGATCTAATAAAAAATTGTACAGATCGGAAGTCAAGTATTGTCGCCACAATATCATTCTTGAAATTCGCAATCTCCAAAGTCTCACTGACATTGAGTTTTCACCAATAGACTGGTTATTATACCCAGCTGGTTATTATACCCAGCTGGTTATAACTTAAAAGGGCAACCTATGTGAGATCCGGTTTTGTCCGCCACAAATTGGCCATCTTGAAAATTTGGTTATAGCTACTTCTTCTGAATAGACAGTATCCACATGAGGTGTTCGAGAAAAGACTTATTATGGTGTCTACTTAGTTCTAACTTAAACCGATGGATCTGATATGTCGGCCATAACAGATAGATTGAAAATCTTGTTATCACTACTTCATCTGAATGGATTGTCTCATCATCTTGGGGTTTTCATTCAAATACTGGCTTAATGTTTTATTGACTTTAATTAAAAACTATGCTGATCTGATTTCCAGAAAGTGGCCATTTTGAAAATCTTGGTATCGCTACTCCTTTAATAGGGAAAGTCCGTTTTCAAACGAAATTGTAATGTGAAGAGTTCGTTTTGGTCAAAAATAATAGTAACTAACCCCCTCAATATGGTCACCATGCTGGCTAGTTGATCTTAAATCAAAATGGTACCAGTCCTACATATAAAAAAAATGGTACCAGTCCTACATCCAGTATGACTACCTTGAAGGCAGTCGTGAAAATCCGTTGTCACTACTACCTCAGAGTGCATGGTCATTATTACAGTGCGTTGACCCCAATATCGTCCAATGAGGTCTACGTTATCTTAAACAAAAATGGTGCTAGTTTGATACGCAATGTGTTAACCTCCGTAGCTAATTTAAAAACTCTTGTTATCGCAGGAGTTCATCAGAGACGATTTAAACAATCAGCAGTTAAAACGAATAAATGGACTTATTTTGAATTTCTCGAACTTCTTTTCGCCCATTATGTCAGTCCCTTTTAGGGACTCTTGTGTTTATATTGTAATTGATTGCCTTATTTCGATTTAAACGAAGTCAATATGTGATGTAGGTAGAATTATTGTAAGTTTCTAAAATCTAGGAAATCCATTGGCGGAAGACAATATAATGTAAAACAAACAGTGAATCCCAAGTTTTCATTACGCAATCAGCCGCATTCTGTATCAGATATTTATTATCAGTTTGTTTTTGTTTTAATTACTTCTGATAAGGAGCAAATATTACGTGACATTTTGGGGTTAATCTTGGCTCTCGTTAAATGTGTATATGAATCAATATTCTAATTGTTTTAGATGTCGTTTTATTCCTTTCAGTAATTTCATCTTTTATTCATGTCTGTAATAACCATATTGCATGGACACATTGATGTGCATCACAATAGGAATAATTTTGCAATACTGTGTCTGATCTATATATTCATGCTTAATGGCACATCTAGGCTATACAAATGACTTCAAATTTGACGAATTAATTATAACAGGCATGTGCAACTTCATTTAGGGCGGAGGCCTGATAAGTTATTTTTAAGGCCACACCTAATGGTGTAAATAAACGAATAAAGCAGGTCGCCGGCCGTAGATTGCACATGCCTGAATGAGAACATGCATACACTGCACTTGGTCCCACCGCTACGCTTGAAAATAAACCCGTTTTTTATGTTTAGTGGATTATCGAATCACATTTTGATGTAGCCAGTACCCTGGAGCACACACACACACATACACACACATCTATCTATCTATCTATCTATCTATCTATCTATCTATCTATCTATCTATCTATCTATCTATCTATCTATCTCACAGATGGATGGACGGACGGACGGATGGATGGATGGATGGTCTTTCATTGTCAAAGTTGAATTTATATGTGACTTATCATATCATAAATGTTTTACGCATGCGTAGGCATTGCATGCTGTTTTTTGTAGTACTTCGTAATAGCATCAGTTCTTTTGAGTACTACGTAATTTATCAGTGAATTTTTTTAAACGTTTGCTTCCGACTGCACTTTACGTCTCAAATATTTTTTTTTGTTATCCACAAAGTAAGCAAGGTGACATCATCCTAGCCAACTGTGAAAGGTCGATCATGCTGGGGTAAAAAGCATATCATTGGACTGGGCCTCCTAATCCTTGAAGGCAATATTAGTACAAAATGTGGGTGTAAGATGCCCCCACCATTAATAATGAAGTGGGCTCCTTGGTTGACCTTAGTCAATCATCACTCACTGGTAATCAGGGCTGATTTCCGTATTAGATTTAATCTCTCCAGATCAATACCTGGGTTACTGTTATTAAGATAGCGTACAGAGTTCCTGGGAAGAATGCCAGTACTTCGTTGTTTTCCATAACGTGCTGTGAAGCTGTATATAGGGTATTAAATATTATCTGGACTGCATATGCCAGCAGGTTCCAACAGCTGGAGCACACACATATTTGTTGTTGTTGTGGGGCTTAAAGCCATTTTTCAGCACACGATAGGCTATACATGACGGCCAGTATTAATAGTGGAGGAAGAAACCGGGAAATCACCGGAAGGAACCAACGACCCACGATAAGCTACTGGCAAGCTTTCTCACCTATACACATTAGCCGAATCCTAGAATCGAACCCAAGCAGAGGTGAGATGGCAGTGATCCGTAACGTACAGCGATTTAGACCACTCGGTCACTCGGGGCCCCTCACACACAGGGTAAATAGTCAACCATTCCAAATTGGAGTGGCTATTTTATTCACGGAGTTCCAGGTTGGATTGTCGAGTGGCCATTTTATTCACAGAGTAAATAGTCACCCGGTCCAGATCAGATTGGCCATTCTATTGACGAAGAGTAAATAGTAATCTAGTTCAGACTGTAGTTATTATTTTATTGACAGAGTAAATAACCCCCCATCCAGACCGGAGTGGCTAGATAAGTCACAAGTTGACCACACAGACTTGGCACAAAAAGCTTGATTTTAGCTGTCTTCAGGGAATACAATCCACATTCAAGATGAATTACTAAGGAAATCAGTTGAAGCAGGACACAGCTCCTGATGTCTATTATGTTCATGTTATTAAAATGCAACGTTCCAGTTGGCAATATTTTCAGATGTGGAGACAATTGAAAAATTAGATTTAGTAGTGGAGGCTTACTAGACGCAGCAACTCAAATTCAATAACCTGTTTAACGATATGCAGTACATAAGCTCTCACTTTGGAGAAATTGTCGGTCAGTATTTCTAAACAATATGCACTTTGTGGAAAGTATCCGTCTTTATTTCTGCATATTCTCACTTTGGAGGCATCAACAATACTTATTTTCTCAGAAATTACCAAAGATTTGTATTATGCTGTAGGATGCATAAATGTTGTAAACAGAAACTGAATTTTAATCGGTAAATTAAATGGTTAACAAAAGAAAACACTGTATAGATTCATATCACTTAAGCGGTTGTTCCTAATTATCGTGCAGATAATACAAAGATCCACATCCCTCTGACCCCCTAGGTACTGAGTCCTTAGCACTGTATTTGATTAGATACGTTGGCAATAAGGGCGTTGGGGTGGCAGCAGAAGTCCTTAGATGCGTTCCATGTTTCTCTGGTAATCCAGTGGCCACGTGTTCGATTCCCGCCCAGTAGAGACACATTCGACTACATCAGTGTATGATTAGCTTCGATTCCTCTGCATCGTATACACAATGTGTTCAAAGTGCCGATAAAAAGCAACGAATGCAAAGTTTGTTTTCTGATTTACGCATAACTCAGCCTTACATGTCTGCATACCAATGGTTACATGTTAATTAAGTAGAAAACGCGTATAAAAAGGTATGCACTGTCTTTCTTTTGATGAGGAAGGTAGTTTCTAGCGTTTCTTTATTATACTATTGATTGTATGTGTCAGTTCTTACCCCGGTGTACACAATATCCATAATCGCTCCTGTGGCTTAGTGGCTAGAACGTCCGCCTTGGATGCGGAAGGTTGTGGGTTCGAACCCTGGTCGAGTCATACCAAAGACTTACAAAAATGGTACTCCTCGCTTGGCGCTCAGCATTAAGAGGTTAGTGTTAGGACAGGTGGGCCTGGTGTCAAGATAATGTGACTGAGTGAGACATCATGCTACATGTCTGCGGCATGATACCCCAGTGCCAAGCATCACTATAAACTGCCACCCTGCAGACATCGTAACAATATGACTGAAAAATTGTTAAAGCTACGTTAAAAATCACACACACACACACACACACACACACACACACACACACACACACACACACACACACACACTATCTATTCTGAGAACTCCAGGAAAACAAAAATTTCCGTCGTTTTTCTCCCCTGTATAGTAGTGTATCAACAGTTGAAGAATCTATACCACGCATGCGTTCAGTACCATCAAGTCTCATTGGACATAGAACAAGGCTGCCTTGAACATAAGAAGGAACCTAAGTTTAAAAATAAGATGTAGGTAGCGTAACGGACCAAACTATTGGCTTACACAACTACTGAAACTTAACCCTACATGACGAATGATATACGTGTCGGGCTCACAGGACATATATCCCCCCCTGTATACATCTTTCTTTGAGCTTTACCTGGAATGAAATGTAAAATTCTCATCGACATCTGATAATGTCTTATCTATCGTTTCTAGCACATTTTAGGTATTCCAGAATAGAAATCTCACATTTCAGAGCTTGTGTGCCAGACATCTTCTTTGAGGGGCTGTATCAGTGGAGGCCCTAAATGTGCGTCATTTTCAATAATGCATAATTAGAGGCTCCAAAGGGGAGTGATTTTCAGTAATGGCAAAAAGTATAGATTCGCGCTTGTGTTTAAGGATATATCGGGCTAAACAAAGTTTCGCATATGCTTGTGCAATATAGCATTTGTGCCCTGACCACAATTAAGTGAAGGGTACTGGGTGGCTCTCAATGCATTTTGAAAGACTCTCAGCGTGATAGAAGAAATTTGCATGTCACTGGTGCGATAGTAAAATAATAAGGTATTGGTGACCTAAGTTCACATGCTGAACGTTACCGTATACAATGTATTAAGCCCCGGATGAATCAAGACAGGACAGGCTCTTAGAAGGGCAGTGCAATTCATGAGAGGGCAGGGAGCATCGCCTTACTAAAACTGATTCCAAACAGCATTGCAAGTATCCACTTGCATCTGCGTTCAGACAGCAACAACGCCGTTTGAGAAACCTACATGAAAAGTCTGGATAGGATACGAGCAAATTTGCTCTTGATTTCCGAGTCTTACTTGAAATTACTTTCATCCTAATGTTTTCTCAATTATCTTACTCCCCATCCACATACACGCGCGCGCGTGCCCATTGTCAACAATCTTCTCTCCTGAGGTGTTAGATCGAAATACTAAACCTCTGGACGCACGTCTAAAACTTCCTCAATCAAACCTCGCAGTTTGAAGTCTCCATCGCAAAGACTGGATCACATTATCGCACCATTTCTTTAAAGATTTGATGATACATTGGGAGGATCCCCTAGTGTTTGATGCATTGTAAGCGGTATCCAGGTATATACCATTTCACAATGTCCCAAACTATCACACACACACACACACACACACACACACACACACACACACACACACACACACACACACACACACACACACACATTGCAGTCAATGGCACCATATCGGACGGGTCTCTTCATCGAGAATTTAAAACTCCAACACACACGTGCATTTCGCATCAATTACTGATTACTGTGTTCTTGTCTTTTCGCAAAATTATGTTTTCCCATTGTTATGAACTACAATGTTATTGCCATTTATTTAACTGAAAGCCTTTCTTTTTTTCATTTGCTGAACTTAAATATTGGTCATTTTGAAACACTTCTTGTATGTTACCTTGAAATATCTTTTATATTACCTTGAAATATAGACATGTATGTAAATGATAGATCCAATATTGCTATGAAATATATACATATATGCAAATGATATACGTGATATTACCGTGAAATATGTTGATATATGCAAGTGATAGACACGATATTACCTTGAAATATATTCATGCATGCAAATGATAGACACAATATAATACTGTGAAATATTTTGATAAATACAAATGTTAGATAAGGTTCCAACAATTGCCACATTCCTTCTTTAAAAGCCATCATTATTTGGCAATGTTAATAATTTGTTGGATGTCGTTTACTTTTGTCGAAACAAACATAACTCGGGCGCACAAGCTCAACAATTCTTCGTTATTCCCTTTCTTCCATTTTATTAGTTAAACAGTATCCGTACCTGCGCGTTTTAGACATATTTCCGGGACGCAGTGTCAGAACCTGTGCGCGGGATTGGGGTTGGTTATGGTGTCATTTCCACTCTTCAGTATTCTCTCTCTCTCTCTCTCTCTCTCTCTCTCTCTCTCTCTCTCTCTCTCTCTCTCTCTCTCTCTCTCTCTCTCTCTCTCTCTCTCTCTCTCTCTCTCTCTCTCTCCATCATTCCAAGCACTATGAGTCACAGGTGAGATATTACAGGTGTGGTTATTTCTAGACGATACGATGGATTAATTACCCCTATAATTTCCAGGTTTTAAAGCAAGAAAGCATCCTGAAATCAATCAAGCAGTCTCCTAAGGTTAACTTTTCAAAGAAAGGCTTCTTTGCCAACAAAGTAAAAGTCAGATTTTCGGCTAACATATAACATCTGCATATAACGAACAACCATGAACACAGGTCAAAATATGTGGTCTTTTCAATGTTTTTATATACTGGTTTTGATGCATTTTTTCTATGAATAATTTATTCCCACATAACGTTTTGTCGGGAGAAAAGAGGTTTTATGATTGAAGGTGATCATTTGTAGCGCAGCTTATTAGAAAAGATAATGTTTCTGGCATTGAAAGATCTAAGCTGTAACGTTGTATTTGGAATATTTGGAATCATTTGGCGATCATTGGTGATCAATGGAAAAATTATCCAGTCATCGTATAGACTTATTTTTTCTTGAATTGAAGTCTATAGAAGATGTATGTAATACAAAAGCATCTCGTAGGGATAATTGTATTTTCGCAAATAAGCATATTGCTTTGACCGATTTTGTTTAATTGTTTTATTTAAAACCATTGATGTACATCCATACCAGATGTTGCCCCGACTTCTTATTAGTGAGGGACGTTAGACAGAATCGGCCAATTCGGACAATATTATCCCACCCCATCGCCTCGAATTAGTATGAAATTCTGAACTTCATAATAGACGCTGAAAGCTTTTTAACTGCGATAAAGCTTCATGGAAACATATGGAAAAGAATATTTTCCCTCCCCATCTGCCACAAACTCTGGATTTTAGCTCTGTTTCGTTATACACCAAAAGAGTATATGGCGTGGTATATTGTCCCTTAGCACAAATTGTTTATCACCTCTCCTTCTAAACTACTTGGATGGTTGCCCTGAAACTTCATACGAACATGCATTCCATGATTTTGTTGGTCCTAAATTGACACGCCCAGTCTCTCGTCCAGTATGGCCTTCACAGATTCTATATAAAATTTTGTTACCGCTACTTCTCATGAATTCATGAAAACCTTGCTATCATTACTCCTCCAGACAGGATGGTCATGTCACCATGTTAAACTACATGGCTAATTGCCTTGAAACTTTATATGTACATACATCGCATGGTTTAGTTGGTCTTAAATGACGACTGTCCTAAATGAAAATGGTGCCAGATGCGTATCCACAATGGATGCCATGACGACTGTCCTAAATGAAAATCGTGTCAGATGCGTATCCACTATGGATGCCATGACGACTGTCCTAAATGAAAATCGTGTCAGATGCGTATCCACTATGGATGCCATGACGACTGTCCTAAATGAAAATGGTGTCAGATGCGTATCCACTATGGATGCCATGACGACTCTTCTAAATGAAAATGGTGTCAGATGCGTATCCACCATGGATGCCATGACGACTGTCCTAAATGAAAATCGTGTCAGATGCGTATCCACCATGGATGCCATGACGACTGTCCTAAATGAAAATCGTATCATGCCGACATCCAGAATGTGTGCCACATCAACCAATTTGAAATTCTTGTTATTGCTGAAAAATATCAGAGATGGTGTGATCACTTCGCAGTTGAAAGGAAGAAATGGTCTTATCTTAAATTCGTGGAATTTCTTTTCGTCCAGTACAACGTCAGTCTCTTTGACGTATTCTTTAACTTCGAATTTAGGGGCCCCGAGTGGCCGAGTGGTCTAAAGCGCTGTTCGTTACGGATCACTGCCATCTCACCTCTCTCTGCGTGAGTTCGAGTCTAGGATTCGGCAAATATGGATATGTGAGAAAGCTTGCCAGTAGCTTCTCGTGGGTCGGTGGTTCTTTCCGGTGATTTCCCGGTTTCTTCCTCCACCATTAATACTGGCCGCCATGAATAGCCTATCGTGTGTTGAAAAATGGCGGTAAGCCCAACAACAACAACAACAACAACTTCGAATTTGGTCTTAGACGTATATAATGAAACACAGGGACCATTGGAATAGACACGGATGAAATACGACTTGTTGTAAACAGTTCGATGACGGTGTTGTTGTTGTATTGTGGAAACACAGAACGGAAGTGGCCATTGTAATGTCAAGAAAGTGCAACGTTCGAAGCGTGTAAAGAAAATGGAAAATCTTTTTAGGACGTTAAACCCTCTACCAAATTTTAAATTAAGTACAACAATAAAAACATAGGAAACGTAACGATTTCCGATTCTGACTAACATAAATCGTACACCTTTGAGTATGGCTATGATTTTGTCAGTAAACATTTGAGGACATTTGGGGTGATCGGCTCAAGGTGGTGCAATGGGTTAATGCGACGGAAAACCATTGTTTCTTCATGTTTCCAGCATAATAGACGTATGCTTCAAGCACTGATTTCATTTCCTTTACTCTGAAAACGAAAGGATTTGTTTGGGACCTTTCGCAGTCGTAAAGGTCGAATATAATCTTAGAAAGTTTTAATCACCATGGTGGTG